CTCTTTATTACTTGACTGAAAATCCTTTCCTGAATCAGTTGATGTTGGCCGATAATGTCCCCCCGCGTAACTAAACAGCTAGATATCAAATGTGCATCAAACAACTATTATGCATAATTATTGAAGAAACCCCGATAATGACAGTATCGACTTCTGTTTTATTAATCATATTAAAAGTTTCTCTTTCTGTTTGAAGCATTGGATTTTGCAATCATATACATTATTTTGGATGTGTGTGCCCATGAAAACTGTTTTCACACCGTAATATGAGGTCACAGTACACTTCCGAGATCGCCATACAAAAAAAGAGTCTGACAGCAATATCCAGGAATGTCACAGGATCAAGGTCAATGTGTAATTCAATTGTTAAATGCTTAGTATATGATATAACGACAAACAGCATTATCATAAACGTAAGGAAAGAAAGGTAGTGTTTTATGTCACACGATTTTTGCCAAATCTATGAAGTATGAGAAAGGGGTTAAACATAGGATTTGATTCAACTCATGAATTATATTGAATGTCTACAGTGGCTTGTGAAAGTATTCACCCCCCTTGGCATTTTTCCTATTTTGTTGCCTTACAATAAAAAATATATATATTTTTTTTTTTTTTGGGGGGGGGGGGGGGGGGGTATGTATCATTTGATTTACACAACATGCCTACCACTTTGAAGATGCAAAATAAAAAAATTTGTGAAACAAATAAGAAATAAGACAAAAAAACAGAAAACTTGAGCGTGCATAACTATTCACCCCCCCAATGTCAATACTTTGTAGAGCCACCTTTTGCAGCAATTACAGCTACAAGTCTCTTGGGGTATGTCTCTATAAGCTTGGCACATCTACCCACTGGGATTTTCGCCCATTCTTCAAGGGAAAACTACTCCAGCTCCTTCAAGTTGGATGGGTTCCACTGGTGTACAGCAATCTTTAAGTCATACCACAGATTCTCAATTGGATTGAGGTCTGGGCTTTGACTAGGCCATTCCAAGACATTTAAATATTTCCCCTTAAACCACTCAAGTGTTGCTTTAGCATTATGCTTAGGGTCATTGTCCTGCTGTAAAATGAACCGCCGTCCCAGTCTCAAATCTTTGGAAGACTGAAACAGGTATCCCTCAAGAATTTCCGTGTATTTAGTGCCATCCATCATTCCTTCAATTCTGACCAGTTTCCCAATCCCTGCCGATGAAAAGATCCCCACAGCATGATGCTGCCACCACCATGCTTCACTTTTGGCCATCAAGGAAAATGTAAATGTAAATGTGTTCTCGGGGTGATGAGAGGTGTTGGGTTTGCACCAGACATAGCATTTTCCTTGATGGCCAAAAAGCTCAATTTTAGTCTCATCTGACCAGAGTACCTTCTTCCATATGTTTGGGGAGTCTCCCACATGCCTTTTGGCGAACACCAAACATGTTTGGTTATTTTTTTCTTTAAGCAATGGCTTTTTTCTGGCCACTTAAAGTACGGCTTAAAGTGGTTATATGGACAGATAATCCAATCTCCGCTGTGGAGCTTTGCAGCTCCTTCAGGGTTATCTTTGGTGTCTTTGTCTTTGTCCCCGGGACCACCCATACGTAAAAATGTATGCACACATGACTGTAAGTCGCTTTGGATAAAAGCGTCTGCTAAATGGCATATTATTATTATTATTATTATGTGTTGCCTCTCTGATTAATGCCCTCCTTGCCTGGTCCGTGAGTTTTGGTGGGCGGCCCTCTCTTGGCAGGTTTGTTGTGGTGCCATATTCTTTCCATTTTTTAATAATGGATTTAATGGTGCTCCGTGAGATGTTCAAAGTTTCAGATTTTTTTTTTATAACCCAACCCTGATCTGTACTTCTCCACAACTTTGTCCCTGACCTGTTTGGAGAGCTCTTTGGTCTTCATGGTGCCGCTTGCTTGGTGGTGCCCCTTGCTTAGTGGTGTTGCAGACTCTGGGGCCTTTCAGAACAGGTATATATATACTGAGATCATGTGACAGATCATGTGACACTTAGATTGCACACAAGTGGACTTTATTTAACTAATTATGTGACTTCTGAAGGTAATTGGTTGCACCAGATCTTATTTAGGGGCTTCATAGAAAAGGGGGTGAATCCATATGCACGCACCACTTTTCCGTTATTTATTTTTTAGAATTCTTTGAAACAAGTTATTTTTTTAATTCCACTTCACCAATTTTTACTATTTTGTGTCTGTCCATTACATTAAATCCAAATAAAAATCCATTTAAATTACAGGTTGTAATGCAACAAAAAATAGGATGAATACTTTTGCAAGGAACTGTATATCTATGTTCCCCCTTCATATCTTAATGTAAAAAAAAAGGCTAATTATTAATCATTACTTTGTAACAGCTCCAAACAGTTGTCCACTACAAGAAATGCTCACAGGTACCCTAGTTTTATAGAAAGACCCATTGCTACCCTCTTTTATAGAAAGACCCTTATACAGAATGCTGTTTTATAGCTCTAGTACTGAGTGTTGTTAGTCCGTGGGTTGTTGGACTCAATCTTTTAATTTTAGCCAGAGAAGTGGGGGGAAGAGGGGGGAAAAGAGAGAAGGACAAAGCGTGAGATAAACAGAGAAAGGGTGAGCGAGAGACAGAGTGAGGGATAGCGAGAGGGAGGGAGCGTGAGAAAGATAGATGATTTTCATTTTGAAACAGACTGGTTGTGATGCTGTGTGCCAGCTAACTGCTGGCATTTCGTGTGGGCTACGTGAGCTGTGAGCTACGTGTTTTGTACGTGAGCGTCATCTCAATCAGAGAGTCTCATACCACAGCCTCCTCCATTAATCACCCAGACACATTGGGTAGACACAGACAGAGACGCAGACGGAGACATAGACACAACCCACCAGGAACGGCTGCTCCCTGCTCCTTGCTCCCTGCTCCCTGCTCCCTGCTCCCTGCTCCCTGCTCCCTGCTCCTTGCTCCCTGCTCCCTGCTCCCTGCTCCTTGCTCCCTGCTCCCTGCTCCCTGCTCCTTGCTCCCTACTCCCTGCTCCTTGCTCCCTGCTCCCTGCTCCTTGCTCCCTGCTCCCTGCTCCTTGCTCCCTGCTCCCTGCTCCCTCCTCCCTCCTCCCTGCTCCCTGCTCCCTGCTCCCTGTTCCCTCCTGCCTGCTCCTTGCTCCCTGCTCCCTCCTCCCTCCTCCCTGCTCCTTGCTCCCTGCTCCCTCCTCCCTGCTCCTTGCTCCCTGCTCCTTGCTCCCTGCTCCCTGCTCCCTGCTCCCTCCTCCCTCCTCCCTGCTCCTTGCTCCCTGCTCCCTCCTCCCTCCTCCCTCCTCCCTGCTCCTTGCTCCCTGCTCCCTCCTCCCTCCTCCCTGCTCCCTCCTCCCTCCTCCCTCCTCCCTGCTCCCTGCTCCCTGCTCCTTGCTCCCTGCTCCTTGCTCCCTGCTCCTTGCTCCTTGCTCCCTGCTCCTTGCTCCCTGCTCCTTGCTCCCTCCTCCCTGCTCCTTGCTCCCTGCTCCTTGCTCCTTGCTCCCTGCTCCCTGCTCCTTGCTCCCTGCTCCCTGCTCCTTCTCCTTGCTCCCTGCTCCCTGCTCCTTGCTCCTTGCTCCTTGCTCCCTGCTCCCTGCTCCCTGCTCCTTGCTCCCTGCTCCCTGCTCCTTGCTCCCTGCTCCTTGCTCCTTGCTCCCTGCTCCCTGGGACCAGGACCAGAAGTGCACTACTTTTGACCAGGGCCAATAGGACTTAATACGGAATAGGGTGCTATTTGGGAAGCACACTCAGACCCAGACACAACCGGCAGGAACTACCGCTCCTTCTATAACTCTTTAACAAAGACCAAGCATCACACCCAGACTCCTCAGAGCCAGCGGGTTAAAGACACATTAAGACTAAAGTCATCTAAGGATTCTATTAAAATGAAATCGAGAAAAAAACGTCCCATCTTATAACACTGTATATCAATTTTTTATTGACTGTGAATGAACGCCACAAGGCTGTGTTTGCCCTTTGAGCTAAAGTCTAGGCATTGGTCTAAACTTCAGAACTCAGGCAAAGTTACTCAACACGGGAGGATCGTTCACTGAGCCATCTCTTTTACGTTCTACCCAATCCCTTGTACTTCCTTGTAACAATCTGCCCAAAACACTCACCTCTCTCTGGCTAGGACATAGAGACTAACTCTGTGTGCCTTTTCAGCTGCAGCAGAGGTTATCATTCCCCAACTCAGCCTGACTTAATTGTGACCGACCGGCTCGATTCGGTCCTGTGTGGCAAAATTTTAAAATTGTGTTTTTTACATGGTTTAAAAGTAGATACTCAGAGCTAAAAAAAAATGGTATATCATACACTGCAGTTGAGGAACAATGGGAAAGTGATTCTGCTTTGAAAGTTGATCAACTTGTAACCCCACTTTTGAGAAAATGGCCTTTGAAGCTCTTCTTTGTCTACTCCCATTCACAAAGCCTATTCCCCCTCAGATCCTCAAAAGGTTCTACAGCTGCACCATCGAGAGCATCCTGACTGGTTGCATCACTGCCTGGTTTGGCAACTGCTCGGCCTCTGACCGCAAGGCACTACAGAGGGTAGTGCTTACGGCCCAGTACATCACTGGGGCCAAGCTTCCTGCCATCCAGGACCTCTATACCAGGCGGTGTCAGAGGAAGGCCCTAAAAAATGGTCAAAGACTCCAGCCACCCTAGTCATAGACTGTTCTCTCTGCTACCGCATGGCAAGCGGTACCGGAGCGCCAAGTCTAGGTCCAAAAGGCTTCTTAACAGCTTCTACCCCCAAGCCATAAGACTCATGAACAGCTAATCAAATGGCTACCCGGACTATTTGCATTGTCCCTGTAACAACGTCATGTATTCGGCACAAAAGCTCATACAGGATAACTTGTAGAGTTGAAGTCGGAAGTTTACATACACCTTAGCCAAATACATTTAAACTCAGTTTTTCACAATTCCTGACATTTAATCCTGGTAAAAATTCCCTGTCTTAGGTCAGTTAGGATCACCACTTTATTTTAAGAATGTGAAATGTCAGAATAATAGTAGAGAGAATGATTTATTTCAGCTTTTATTTCTTTCATCACATTCCCAGTGGGTCAGAAGTTTACATACACTCAATTAGTATTTGGTAACATTGCCTTTAAATTGTTTAACTTGGGTCAAACATTTCGGGTAGCCTTCCACAAGCTTCCCACAATAAGTTGTGTGAATTTTGGCCCATTCCTCGTGACAGAGCTGGTGTAACTGAGTCAGGTTTGTAGGCCTCCTTGCTCACACATGCTTTTTCAGTTCTGCCCACAAATGTTCTATAGGATTGAGGTCAGGGCTTTGTGATGGCCACTCCAATACCTTGACTTTGTTGTCCTTAAGCCATTTTGCCACAACTTTGGAAGTATGCTTGGGGTTCATTGTCCATTTGGAAGACCCATTTGCGACCAAGCTTTAACTTCCTGACTGATGTCTTGAGATGTTGCTTCAATATATCCACATAATTTTCCTTCCTCATGATGGCATCTATTTTGTGAAGTGCACCAGTCCCTTCTGCAGCAAAGCACCCCCAAAGCATGATGTTGCCACCCCTGTGCTTCACGGTTGGGATGGTGTTCTTCGGCTTCCAAGCATCCCCCTTTTTCCTCCAAACATAACGATGGTCATTAAGGCCAAACAGTTCTATTTTTGTTTCATCAGACCAGAGGACATTTCTCCAAAAAGTACGATCTTTGTCCCCATGTGCAGTTGCAAACCGTAGTCTGGCTTTTTTATGGCGGTTTTGGAGCAGTGGCTTCTTCCTTGCTGAGCGGCCTTTCAGGTTATGTCGATATAGGACTCGTTTTACTGTGGATATAGATACTTTTGTACCTGTTTCCTCCAGCATCTTCACAAGGTCCTTTGCTGTTGTTCTGGGATTGATTTGTACTTTTCGCACCAAAGTACGTTCATCTCTAGGAGACAGAACGCGTCTCCTTCCTGAGCGGTATGACGGCTGCATGGTCCCATGGTGTTTATACTTGCGTACTATTGTTTGTACAATGAACGTGGTACCTTCAGGCGTTTGGAAATTGCTCCCAAGGATGAACCAGACTTGTGGAGGTCTAAAAGAATGTTTCTGAGGTCTTGGAATTGATACAGTGAATTATAAGTGAAATTATCTGTCTGTAAACAATTGTTGGAAAAAATACTTGTGTCATGCACAAAGTAGATGTCCTAACCAACTTGCTAAAACTATCGTTTGTTAACAAGACATTTGTGGAGTGGTTGAAAAACGAGTTTTACTGACTCCAAACCTAAGTGTATGTAAACTTCCGACTTCAACTGTATATCCTAACATCACTTTGTCGGGGCAAAGACTCAACATCAAAACTCAAAAGAATAGACAATGACTCTTCTGTTTCACCAAACGACGAGCATCACAAACACCGAAAATCTTCCCCTTCAGTTAGTCAACTTTGACAATTTACCGCTACCCCAGGAATCACTTCCTTGCCTGCTCCCTCTGACCAGCAGAAAAAAATTAAATAATTACCACTTCCTGCTTCCTGTGCTTGTCTTGAGTGTGGTAATAAACATGTGTTCTGTCCTGTTTCCTACTGGGACAGTTGCACCTATAATCTAAACCGGCAACACTATCGGAGACCACCACATGGTGGCGCTTTTCTACATTCGTTGTTGTTATATTTTTCCCGTACCTTGTACTTCCTTGTTGTCACATTCTGCCCAATACCTTGAACTTCCTTGTTGTTACCTTGAACTTCCTTGTTGTGGTCCTCTGTAGCTCAGCTGGTAGAGCACGGCGCTTGTAACGCCAAGGTAGTGGGTTCGATCCCCGGGACCACCCATACACAAAAATGTATGCACGTGTGACTGTAAGTCACTTTGGATAGAAGCGTCTGCTAAATGGCTTATTATTATTACATTCTGCCCAATACCTTGTACTTCCTTGTTGTCACATTCTGCCCATACCTTGTACTTCCTTGTTGTCACATTCTGCCCAATACCTTGTACTTCCTTGTTTTTACATTCTGCCCATACAGTGAGGGAAAAAAGTATTTGATCCCCTTCTGATTTTGTACGTTTGCCCACTGACAAAGACATGATCAGTCTATAATTTTAATGGTAGGTTTATTTGAACAGTGAGAGACAGAATAACAACAAAAAATCCAGAAAAACGCATGTCAAAAATTTTATAAATTGATTTGCATTTTAATGAGGGAAATAAGTATTTGACCCCTCTGCAAAACATGACTTAGTACTTGGTGGCAAAACCCTTGTTGGCAATCACAGAGGTCAGACGTTTCTTGTAGTTGGCCACCAGGTTTGCACACATCTCAGGAGGGATTTTGTCCCACTCCTCTTTGCAGAACTTCTCCAAGTCATTAAGGTTTCGAGGCTGACGTTTGGCAACTCGAACCTTCAGCTCCCTCCATAGATTTTCTATGGGATTAAGGTCTGGAGACTGGCTAGGCCACTCCAGGACCTTAATGTGCTTCTTCTTGAGCCACTCCTTTGTTGCCTTGGCCGTGTGTTTTGGGTAATTGTCATGCTGGAATACCCATCTACGACCCATTTTCAATGCGCTGGCTGAGGGAAGGAGGTTCTCACCCAAGATTTGACGGTACATGGCCCCGTCCATCGTCCCTTTGATGCGGTGAAGTTGTCCTGTCCCCTTAGCAGAAAAACACCCCCAAAGCATAATGTTTCCACCTCCATGTTTGACGGTGGGGATGGTGTTCTTGGGGTCATAGGAAGCATTCCTCCTCCTCCAAACACGGCGAGTTGAGTTGATGCCAAAGAGCTTGATTTTGGTCTCATCTGACCACAACACTTTCACCCAGTTCTCCTCTGAATCATTCAGATGTTCATTGGCAAACTTCAGACGGCCCTGTATATGTGCTTTCTTGAGCTGTGGGACCTTGCGGGCGCTGCAGGATTTCAGTCCTTCACGGCGTAGTGTGCTACCAATTGTTTTCTTGATGACTATGGTCCCAGCTGCCTTGAGATCATTGACAAGATCCTCCCGTGTAGTTCTGGGCTGATTCCTCACCGTTCTCATGATCATTGCAACTCCACGAGGTGAGATCTTGGCCGAGGGAGATTGACAGTTATTTTGTGTTTCTTCCATTTGCGAATAATCACACCAACTGTTGTCACCTTCTCACCAAGCTGCTTGGCGATGGTCTTGTAGCCCATTCCAGCCTTGTGTAGGTCTACAATCTTGTCCCTGACATCCTTGGAGAGCTCTTTGGTCTTGGCCATGGTGGAGAGTTTGGAATCTGATTGATTGATTGCTTCTGTGGACAGGTGTCTTTTATACAGGTAACAAGCTGAGATTAGGAGCACTCCCTTTAAGAGTGTGCTCCTAATCTCAGCTCGTTACCTGTATAAAAGACACCTGGGAGCCAGAAATCTTTCTGATTGTTTTTTATATATTTTATCATTTTAATGTTATCTTTTTATTTATTTATTTTTGTCTTTTTTTTTTTTTTTTGGGTGGGTAGATCAGCTTAATATTGCAGATAGATTGTAACTTCCATCAATGTAATTGTCTGCATCACTTCCAATCCCCCATGTTTTTTATATATATACTCCCCTTTATTACTTTTCAACCCCGCCATCCTTTCCCTACTTGGGGTAAATTAGTGAACAACAATGCCCAGGCCTCTACTTCCAGCCTATACTTACTATCTACACCTTATGAACACATTCAATTTTACAATAATTCTATTTTATTTGTTTTTGCTCCTGAACTTCTTCTACTCTCAACCTCTCCGATCATTTTCATGATGTCCATCCGGTTTGCTTCTATATGCCATATCTTTCTAACTGTGCTCTTTCCCAAAAGCTCCCAACATACAATCTATATACTTATTATGGACACAGTATGCTTACATGATTAGTTATCTTGTTATTTTTTATTGTTATTTGTTATTAGTCCCATCCTTCAATTCCATTCAATACCTCCCATCTATCTTTTAACACCAACCATATAGGATTTCTATTTGCCATATATATTTCAACCGTACTGTGATGTTTTACAAAAGTTCAGAACCTTTCTATTCTCATTGCTTCTACAGATTGTGAATTAAAAATAAACATTTTTGCTAAAAGTATTATTATATTATTGATTGATTGACTATGACTTTTCAGATCACCCAGTAATGCTATCTGCAAGGTTAGCTTCAGGTAAATATTGCAATCCTTTAGCCATTCCTGGGGGTCAAATACGTATTTCCCCCATTAAAATGCAAATCAATTTATAACATTTTTGACATGCGTTTTTTCTGGATTTGTTGTTGTTATTCTGTCTTTCACTATTCAAATAAACCTACCATTCAAATTATAGACTGATAATTTCTTTGTCAGTGGGCAAACGTACAAAATCAGCAGGGGATCAAATACTTTTTTCCCTCACTGTACATTGTACTTCCTTGTTGTCACATTCTGCCCATACCTTGTACTTCCTTGTTATTACATTCTGCCCATACCTTGTACTTCCTTGTTGTTACATTCTGCCCATACCTTGTACTTCCGTGTTGTTACATTCTGCCCAATACCTTGTACTTCCTTGTTGTTACATTCTGCCCATACCTTGTACTTCCTTGTTGTTACATTCTGCCCATACCTTGTACTTCCTTGTTATTACATTCTGCCCATACCTTGTACTTGCTTGTTGTTACATTCTGCCCAATACCTTGTACTTCCTTGTTGTTACATTCTGCCCATACCTTGTACTTCCTTGTTATTACATTCTGCCCATACCTTGTACTTCCTTGTTGTTACATTCTGCCCATACCTTGTACTTCCTTGTTGTTACATTCTGCCCATACCTGTTACTTCCTTGTCGTTCCTGAACCAGCGGATGTGCGCTGCAGGCTTGCTGCCGGATGTGGTGCAGATCAGAGTGATCTCATCTCCCTCCATGGCTGGCTTAGTGAACCCTGTGATCTCTGGGCGCTCTGGGACTCCTGCAGGACAACAACAATCCATAAAGAACACCAAAATCAACAACAGCAAAACACCAGTCAACAAGAAATGCATTGACATAACATCACGTTAGGTTAGCCACTTAAAACCCTATTATGTCATTACAAATACTGTATGCCCTTCTAATAACCATAATCAACATGTATTCTTGATGTACAGTGAGATGCCTTCTTGCCTATAACAATCAATATGCTTTCATCAACCTTTAAGGGATCATTAAACGACTACTGCTGTCTGAGTTAGGAGCATTAGCACTGTGTAATTGTCTGTCCTAAAGTGCGTAGGGATCCACCCTAATCCATACATTAAGTCTCTCTCACACACACACACACACACACACACACACAGTCTTGTACAGCTAACCTTGTGGGGACATACAATTCAGTTCCATTGAAAATACTATTTTCCCTAACTCCTAAACATTTACATTTTTGTCATTTAGCAGACGCTCTTATCCAGAGTGCATATATGATTGAGTGCATATATGATTTTTTAAAATTTTTCATACTGGCCCCCCGTGGGAAACGAACCCACAACCCTGGCGTTGCAAACATCCCTGCCGGCCATTCCCTCCCCTACCCTGGATGACGCTGGGCCAATTGTGCGCCGCCCCATGGGTCTCCCGGTCGCGGCCGGCTACGACAGAGCCTGGATTCGAACCAGGATCTTTAATGGCACAGCCTTAGACCACCTGCGCCACTCAGGAGGCGAACCTAACCCTAACCCAAAAACCTAACCTTAACTCTAACCCTAAACCGAATTCTAACCCTACCACTAATTGTAACCTTAACCATACACTCCCTGGGCGGCAGGTAGCTTAGTGGGTAAGAGCGTTGTGCCAGTAACCGAAAGGTCGCTGGTTCTAATCCCCGAGCCGACTAGGTGAAAAATCTGTCGATGTGCCCTTGAGCAAGGCACTTAACCCTAATTGCTTCTGTAAGTCGCTCTGGATAAGAGCGTCTGCTAAATGACTAAAATGTAAATGTAAATAGCATGTGACCTTGTGAGGTCCCCAGTTTGTCAATAGTATAGTTAAACACGACACTCACCCAGTACAGTGAGGAAGGCCTTGGTGGTCCTGACAGGCATGGTGAACAGGGAGCACGTGTACTGGCCCTCGTCTGATAGGCTGATGTCACTGATGCTGATGGTAAGCTCCGCCCACGATGCCCGAACCAGCTCGATCCGGTTGTCCCTCAACGCTGGGGAACACAGACACACAGTGAACACATAGTAAACACACACACACACACACATCGCTGGGGGACACAGACGGACACTGGACCATGAGACACACATCGCTGGGGGACACTGGACCATGAGACGCACATCGCTGGGGGACACTGGACCATGAGACACACATCGCTGGGGGACACAGACACACTGGACCATGAGACACACATCGCTGGGGGACACTGGACCATGAGACGCACATCGCTGGGGGACACTGGACCATGAGACACACATCGCTGGGGGACACAGACACACTGGACCATGAGACACACATCGCTGGGGGACAATGGACCATGAGACGCACATCGCTGGGGGACACTGGACCATGAGACACACATCGCTGGGGGACACTGGACCATGAGACGCACATCGCTGGGGGACACTGGACCATGAGACACACATCGCTGGGGGACACTGGACCATGAGACACACATCGCTGGGGGACACTGGACCATGAGACACACATCGCTGGGGGACACTGGACCATGAGACGCACATCGCTGGGGGACACTGGACCATGAGACACACATCGCTGGGGGACACTGGAACATGAGACACACATCGCTGGGACACACAGACACACTGGACCATGAGACACACAGTCATAGGATCCAATATAGTTCATATTCCTTCAGATGGGAGGAGTTTGTCTCTACTTTGTAGAGGGGTGCCATATGAAACATAGCCTGTGTGTATGTACGTACGGCTAGATGGAAGTGTCTGTATGTACGGCTAGATGGGAGTGTCTGCAGATAGGGCTAGATGGGATTGTCTGCAGATAGGGCTAGATGGGAGTGTCTGCAGATAGGGCTAGATGGGAGTGTCTGCAGATAGGGCTAGATGGGAGTGTCTGCAGATAGGGCTAGATGGGAGTGTCTGCAGATAGGGCTAGATGGGAGTGTCTGCAGATAGGGCTAGAAAGGAGTGTCTGCAGATAGGGCTAGTGCAGATAGGGCTAGATGGGAGTGGCTGTAGTTAGGGCTAGACAGGGTGTCTGAAGGGACGGCCAACTGTGCCTTGCGGAGGCAGGATTAAGAATGTATAATTTATTAAATGAAGAGGCCTCTCCCTGTGCTCTCCTGTGGCTGGCAGGCTGTATCAGCAGCTACTACTGCTGAGTGGGATACGCTGGATGTGCTCTCATGTGTCAGATGACCTATCTGAGAAAGGTGTGTGTGTGTGTGTGTGTGTGTGTGTGTGTGTGTGTGTGTGTGTGGTGTGTGCATGCTTGCGTGTGTGTACCTGTGTGTTGCGAGTGTGAGTGTGTGCGTCCGTGTGTTTGAAACGCTGTGTGAGAGATGACAGGTTTGGGATGACCTTTTTGTTAGCAGCATGGTGCTACTTCAGCTTCAGAAGACGCCAGTCACACTTCAGTGAACATATCACCACAGACCAGTCATACTTCAGTGAACATATCACCACAGACCAGTCACACCTCAATGAACATATCACCACAGACCAGTCACACCTCAATGAACATATCACCACAGACCAGTCACACTTCAATGAACATATCACCACATACCAGTCACACTTCAATGAACATATCACCACAGACCAGTCACACCTCAATGAACATATCACCACAGACCAGTCACACTTCAGTGAACATATCACCACAGACAAATCGTCTCACTACTCTCTCCAATCAATCCTGAAAATTGTTATTTTTTACTTGACATGGATAAAATATTCAGATACACCGCTGACTTGCATATTAAGTTAATTAATTCTCTAGTGCATTGGTATTACTGTATATCTTTGCATTTATGCATTAAATATGCTGAATAACATTCTTCATCCTGATTTTTTTCACCAGTTAAAGTTGAGAGGGCATGTTTATTGCTCAAAGTCAAATTCACCAAATGAGCCTCATTTATTATTCTGTCTAGATGACCTCTACAGTGGATTAGCCAAAGGCATGGTGGTCAGATGACCTCTACAGTGGAGAGCCAAGGACATGGTGGTCAGATGACCTCTACAGTGGATTAGCCAAAGGCATGGAGGTCAGATGACCTCTACAGTGGAGAGCCAAGGGCATGGTGGTCCTATATTATGTCTAGATGACCTCTACAGTGGAGAGCCAAGGGCATGGAGGTCATCTATTCTGTCTAGATGACCTCTACAGTGGAGAGCCAAGGACATGGAGGTCATATATCCCAGGGTTTCCCAGACTCGGTGTGTGTGTGTGTCTGTGTGTGTGTGCACTACCAGACATGTAATACATAATTAGATTAGATGTGAGTCCCATAATAGCACCCTTTGGGATCCAGAGGGACCTGGTCAAAAGTAGTGCACTAATAAATGGAATAGGGTGTCATTTGGGACGCACCCACGGGTCTCCATTTTGATCAACAATCTGCAATGTCTTCTGGGAGAAGCTGAGGTAATTGCTTTGTATCGTTAGTTTGATAGTCATGGTCTTTTAATCACACAGGACAAATTAAGAGGTTATAAACACATTAAAGGTCCTAATGATTCACCATTATTCACATCAGACACAGGTTGTTTCAGTTGTTAATTGAAATACCAGCTAGAATAACACTGAACATCTACAAAGCTATTACAAGTTCCTTATTAACAACACCTTGTTGTCTCCCATTATTAAGACGTATTATTAATATGAACACTGAATCAAACCAATACTAATTGTAGAGCACAGGATGCTGCTGAGGGGAGGACGGCTCATAATACTGGTTGGAGAGGAGCCAATGGAATGGCATCAAACGCCTGGAAACCATGTGTTTCATGTATTTGATACCATTCCACCTATTCCGCTCCAGCCTTTACCACGAGCCTGTCCTCCCCAACCATTCCACCTATTCCGCTCCAGCCTTTACCACGAGCCTGTCCTCCCTAATTAAGGTGCCACCAGCCTCCTGTGCTGTAGAGAGTAGTAATAACACAGAACTACATCTTTAATCAGCCAATAGAAGAAGAGAACTACATCTTTAACCAGCCAATAGAAGAAGAGAACTACATATTTAATCAGCCAATAGAAGAAGAGAACTACATCTTTAATCAGCCAATAGAAGAAGAGAACTACATCTTTAATCAGCCAACAGAAGAAGAGAAGTACATCTTTAACCAGCCAATAGAAGAAGAGAACTAACATCTTTAATCAGCCAATAGAAGAAGAGAACTACATCTTTAACCAGCCAATAGAAGAAGAGAACTACAGCTTTAATCAGCCAATAGAAGAAGAGAACTACATCTTTAACCAGCCAATAGAAGAAGAGAACTACATCTTTAATCAGCCAATAGAAGAAGAGAACTACATCTTTAATCAGCCAATAGAAGAAGAGAACTACAGCTTTAATCAGCCAATAGAAGAAGAGAACTACAGCTTTAATCAGCCAATAGAAGAAGATAACTAAATCTTTAATCAGCCAATAGAAGAAGAGAGCAGCTACATCTTTAACCAGCCAATAGAAGAAGAGAACAACTACAGCTTTAATCAGCCAATAGAAGAAGAGAACTACATCTTTAATCAGCCAATAGAAGAAGAGAACTACATCTTTAATCAGCCAATAGAAGAAGAGAACTACATCTTTAATCAGCCAATAGAAGAAGTGAACAGCCACATCTTTAACCAGCCAAGAGAAGAAGATAACAACTACAGCTTTAATCAGCCAATAGAAGAAGAGAACTACATCTTTAATCAGCCAATAGAAGAAGAGAACAGGTACATCTTTAATCAGCCAATAGAAGAAGAGAACAACTACAGCTTTAACCAGCCAATAGAAGAAGAGAACAGCTACATCTTTAACCAGCCAATAGAAGAAGAGAACAGCTACATCTTTAACCAGCCAATAGAAGAAG